AGAAGCGTCAGGCCAGACCGGCTACACTTACATTAGCCAAAATTAATGATAATTCCTGTCCCAATCACCCAAATGTTACCAAAAAATAAAAAATAAAGGTTTTGGGTCAGTTTAGGCAAAATCTTCAGTATTACAGAAATGTATCGTGTGTTGGGCTAATGTTTTTGAATTTATGGCAAGAAAGGTTCCACAAGGCACAAATTCTAAATTAATGTATCCACATGCAATACCAAACATTACATTTAATAACAAAACATCTTCATCTTTTTTTTTTATATTCATTTTTTATTATAAGTCACACTTAAAAAGACAAAGAACAAAAAAACAATACAAAAGCCATTCAAGAGACAAAAAACACTTATCATATTTAGATACAGATATCATCCTTATTATGTCCTCACTTCCATGGATTTCTTTTGTCTTCCTGTGCTCTTCTTTTCTTTGTAGGACTTGCAGTTTCTTCTCCCTTTGTCACAGTTTGTGTTGTGTGCAGTTTACGGCTGCTGTCTGGACGCTGCGTTTCCCTTTTATCTCTCCTTGAACTGTTGGATTTTCTGTTTGGGCTTGGTGAAGAAGAAGGGTAGCCAGGGAAGAAAACTGACGTTAAATTAGGATGATGCACATTTTCACTGACACCAGCCTCTCTTTTCAATTTGCTCTTTCTTTCCATTCTGACCTCTGCTACTGCCTCCGTTTCTGCGGATTTGACTCTATTTTTTGTAAGATTATAAGTCTCACTTGTTTTTGTTCCAGTCTTTGCAAAACTTCTGTTCTTCGTTTCCCGGATAGTCTCATTCGCCTTTAATCCTTCCTTTAGAGATTCATGGTTTTGCTCCGAATTGTGTTTTCTCACATTTACTGTGAAGCTCCCTCCAGTGTTAAGAGGACACATGTGCTCCTTTGAGTTTGTATCAAGCTGCTGTCTGTCAGGCTCATGACGTTTTTGCCCTGCATCGTTCTGTAACTTTGTAAAACTTGCCTTTTGTGTTTGCAAACTTGGTTTAGAAGTTTCTCCATTCGCTGTAGTTTCTGTCTGAGGCAACATCTCTTTGTGTGGCCTCACACATGCCGCTCTCTGGCTTCTCTCTTTTCCCAGTTCACCGAAAAATGTATCTTCATGGCTCCTCTTTAAGATATCGCCATTCAAGTTTGGCTCTCCATTGCAGCTTTCATCCATCGGTTGAGGATGACGAACAAAAACTTCTCTCCCTGCCTCGACATGTCTTTCTTCGGCCTCGACATACGAATGTGCACAGTTAGCTTCCAGGTCTTCATCAGTTTTTTCAAGATTTCTTCTCACTTAGACGATAAAAAGAAAGGAATTAATTAGTGAAAAACACAAACAGCAGAAGCGTAAAGAGAGTCCATCTGCCTCACAAGGTCACAAATTCACAAGATCACGTAAGAATCTTCACCAGGCTTCAGCACCCCAGTGGTTTATACTCATTAGCATCCTTTGAGGAAGCACTGGTGGCTGAGACATGAGCTACGGCTGTAGCTTAGCACTAGGTGTGTGTGTGTGTGTGTGTGTGAGATGCTGCTAAAGAGGTTAGCGTAGCTGCTGCTAGCATCAGTTATATCTGAACTTGATTTAAGAAGAGCAAAAAAAGTCACTGTAGGATTTTGACTACGTTATATAGTTTTTGTTGATCTGATTGGCTGAAGTTCACCACTAACACACTTTAAAGTAGTCAAAGACTTGTACTTGTTAATCTACCATCATTTCTAAGAGGAGCTTTAGTAATGATGCGTTTGGGAAAAACCTCTTTGTTAGACAAATTGTCATAATCATCTTAGCCTCAAGATGCTTTTGGGAAACGAAGCCTTGGTGTGTTGTCCACCTTCATTTTGAGCAAGCAATAGTTAGGCAGTTTTGTCTTCAAGGCCTTTCCAGGTGAAACTTTTTAAACTTATTTAAATAAAACTGAAAACAGGGCAGTAAGTAAATTCTGCACATTCGCAAACTTACCCTTCCTGTACATGAGGAGGTAAGCTGTAGAAGACCTCAAAGGCTTGTCTTCAGCAACAAATAGTGGTTTGATCTGTATGATTAAAACCAATACATAATCATGTGTAAAAATTCACATTGTTGAGTGTTAAACTGTGTGAGAATATGTAAAATTGGACTGCGTATGGTAAAAGGAGCCTCCTTACTTTTTTCACAATGTCGTCATTGAAGTTATACCACACCTGAGTCTCGAAAGATTTGATTTGTGCAGTGTAATGACCTCCTGTTAGACTACCAAAGTGGTTCACTAAAGCGTAGAGGTCATAGTCACAATTCTGTAGAGAGGGAAATAGAACAGAGTCATCACCTCTGATAAATATTAAATAAAAACAATTTGACGCTGAATTACGTAAGTACATATAAACATACCTTTATGTGTAAAGTTTGGGGGATGTCCACTTTGCAATGAAGCTTGACGTAACACCCGCACTTGTAGTCAAACCTGAATCTCTTCAGCAGGAGGGTCAAAACCTCTGGATTCTGTGTCATCTTACATCCCTAGACCAAAGAATGAAAACAGCTGCATGAACAAGAGACAGGCGCAAAGTCACCTACCATAAGCATGTACACGCATACGTCTTGTATATACACTGTTATCTACAGTAGACATGGACTTAGCAACCATCTACGGACAAAACTCACCAACTCACACGGAATTTGGGTTTAATAGATAACAATTTAACATTTTAAATGAACAATTCTAGCGGTATAACCTGAAAGTGTAAAGTGGTTATTTCAATCGTGAACATGTGTAGGTGGTATTTTCCGAAAGTTATTCTACCTGACAAGTCAGGGTCAGACCGTATCTTCTCCTTCAGAAAGCGAGAAATTATGTAAAAGTTTGGATCGCAAACAATAAAAAAAAAAAAAACTCACAAAGTTTGCATCTTGCTTCTTATTGCAGTGGTTGCAGTACATCTTGTTTTCCCCAGCGACGTTTTCTCGGTTGAAGAAAGCCTTCAACCCTCTCTCCTGTAAACATGATGTACTTATTCTTGCATGTTCTTTTCTTATGTAGTTTTGAAAAACACACAATAATTTTTTTTTAAGTAATACACAGTACCACGCTGTAGGTCTGATGACACAAATCTTCAACGGCAACTGGCAGAATCCAAAAAAAGCTCCTAGAATCGTTCCTCTCCTTGCATTTGAGGCAACTGGCCCTGTGGATGAGTTCCCCCTTGAACATCTAGACATCAAGGTACATCAGAGGTTACTTAATTGCTGTGTGGCCTGGTAGTTAGAAAAGGCTGTTAAAGGACTATTCCAGTGGAAATGTTTTGTTTGTGTTAAATACTCTCCTCCTATAACATCTCTAATCTGTTGATCCTTACATTTACTCAAGTATTGAACTACTACTCCTACGACCTGAAAATATTGTACTTTTTATTCCCCTAAGTTACTTTACACATTAATATTCTACATACAAAACATATAAAGAAAGAAAAATAAATGAACTATCCAAACGTATAAGCAGGCTACATACAGTATATAGTTGATGAGTCAATTATCAAAACATTCATCAGCGATTATTTTGGTTATTTAAGTCAATATTCAAGCTAAAAGGCAGAAACCTTTCATAGTTTCAGCTTCTCAAATGTGATGATTTTGCTGCTTTTCTTTGTCTTAAATTACAGTAAACAGAATATAATGAACTCTGGATGGTTCAGACAAAATGAGACACAAAAGTGCCACTTTTGAGTTTGGAGAGAAGTGTAAAATGCTGATTAAACATGAAGGCATGAGTAATAATCATCCTTGCTTTGCCAATGCATCACTAAATGCATTAATTTCTACAGAGCTTCAGAGCTGTAAATGCTGTTATAGCGGGATACAGAAACCATGTTGTTAAGGAACTGTGAGTATTTGGACCATACGGATTATACCGATCAACAACAGGGAAGTAGATGCACCAGGAAACGTGTGACAAGCCTTTTATGGACTATATGCTGTGACTGTGGGTCAAAGTATGAATCCAAGCTGACAACAGCTAATATTCTCTGTGAAGGAGCCAGCCACAAATCTTTTAAAGCCACCTTTCCAGCCCGAAGTAAGTGTCCATTTGTTACTAAAGTTAAGATTTGAATAATTTTTTTCCATGTCTAAGGAAAATTATCCCAATTATACAAGATATGACAATACATGGTTTCTTTAATGTGAAACTTGTGTATAGGGTTTTATACTTGTCTGATTGTATTGTTGGTTTAAGCTCGTTAGGAAAAAGTGTTGTGATATAATACCTCAATTTTTTAATAGTTTTTTTTAAAGTTCACATAGTTTTTTTCATTTGTCAGTTTTAGTTTTTAGTGGTGTCAAATTATCCGTTAACCCCGGAACATTCACCTTAATGTGCATAGAAGTTAATGTGGATTAATGCACACTCTCCCCGATAAATAAATAAATACATTTGTCCTTACCCTGGCAGCCTCCGGACTGGTCATACACAAGATCTTCTCAAAATACTCAGCAGCATCTCGTTGCTCATATACTGAAAGTAAGAGATTTTTCACTGTAAGATAATGTCATTAGTAGCCTATGCAGCCACTCTGAGTCGGTACCAGGCTCACGAGTGTGCAGGACTTTAACACTCAAGCTTTTTCAGACAGAAACTTACCATTCGTTATGCCCAGTTTTTTTGTGACCTCATGTGTTTTGGCAACACTTTTCTGTAAATCAGAAAACAGTCTGTCCAGATGTCGGTCAATGGTTGTCGAATCTTTTCTGCATCTGCGGAAAGAGGAGAAGTATATGTTATTAAACATGTAGCCAGTGACGCACAAATTATTAAGTTTGCCTGATGTTTTGGGAAATACGCTGGACCCATCAGCTGGTTAGCTTAGCTTCAAATAAAGAGCGGAAACAGGGGCAATCAGCACTAACACCACCACCACCCACCACGACCTCTAAAGCTCAACAATTAACACAAACCATATCTTCTTTTTTCAGACTTGTGTAAAGTGGCAACTGTATTTTACAGAGGGTTATGTGCAGGACTATTTCTTTGCTGGGACCAGTAACTTCCTGGACTCTCCACTGGTTGGGTGGTAACTGGTTCCAGCCAAGAAACTGTGTGGCACATACAGTAACCGCCTGTAACACCACAACATGTTGCTTTTACACTTTGTTTTTGGTTCATTAGTGAGCTTTAGAGGTGCTGGCGTATTCTGTTACCTTTGGACCCAGTGTACCCCCTGCATCCAGTGTTTATGCTAAGATAAGCTAACAAGCTGCAGATACGTATTTAGTGTACAGACATGACAGCAGTATCGATCTTCTCAAATAACTCTCGGCAAGAAAGTGATTAAGCGAATTTCCCCAAAAATATTCCTTAAATTAACTTTAAAGAGCTAAAGAAAAATGTTTTTGGTTTTAATTTGTAAAATATAACCCAAATAAAGCTGAGGTTACGCACTGTTTCACTGCCTCCCAGAAGTCTTTGGTCATGAAAAGCACCTGAAGCACGCTGTTCAAATAGCATGTGAGACCTGGACTGTGCAGGCCATGGTAGTCTGAAGACACAACAGTGACATAAAATGATCTTAAACGTGGAAATATATGAGCCACATGCTTAAGTAGTTTGATTTAATGTCACTTACCTGAGATGGTGAAGCAGTCTAGTTTCTTTCTGAACATTTCTACAAACTCATTCATACTGACGTCTTTTGAATGAGAGTGTTGACATTTTTAGATCACTGAAGGTTTTTCGGATGTATGGATCCAGCCTGTTGAAGCACATTAGACAGAGGAAAAGTTAAGAGACAGCAAGCAGGTTAAATATTGCAATATATTACAAAGAATATTAACAGGACTATAAACTTGTTAAACTGGTTTAACATGTATTTTGATATTGTTTTGTTAGCTGATAAGGCTTGTTGAGAGGGTGTTTTATGGCATTTAACTATAATTGGCTTTGAAAAATTATACATTTATAATACTGGCAATATTATAATAGCACAACTTAAATGTGGACTAAAAATGATATTTTCCACATTGATCTGCATGTAGTTGATTCTTTGTAGGCTTCTACAGAACATAAATATGATGCTTTGCTATAGATTAGACTCACAGTGTATGAAATAGTTAAATTATCTCAGTATGTATACCTTATACATTAATGCAGTGATAATAATCCAACGATATAACACTGACAGGGGCCTTTCTGCTGCACAAGTACTTTTGCTTCTGATACTTTAAGTAGGCTACATTTTGCTGCTAATATCCTCTCTTTTGTTCTGTTTCCTCTCTGTGAAACACTTTGGCTCAACTGTATTGTATGTAAAGTGTTAAATAAGTAAAGTTGAGTTGAGATCTAGGCTACTTAAAAGTACAAATGCAAGGCTTTTACTTGCACTAGTATGTTTTTATACAGTGGTATTGCTACTTTCACTTCATTAAAGGTTAGAATACCCCCTTTCCACCACTATTAAATGGAGGCACAACATAGAAAATCACAACAAAAGAGCGCAGATAGATTCATAATTTTGCATGACTGACGACAACAGGATGAAACCTGAAGGATTTCCAGTCAGCAGTGAGTTAAACACAAGAAGTAACCAGTGAACGCAGCTGCTGTGTTTGGGTGTTTTGGAAACCCACGCAGCCCCTCAGTCCTCCATTACACAGCGCCTCCGAAACAGGTGGCAAAAAGGGACAAAAGTAGCTACAGTAAGACAACAATGAAACCACTGTAACGTGGTAGACACGCGTAGGTTATACCTCATAAAGTCCGACAACACGAGGTGACTTTTTGTTTGTGTATGAGGTAAAATGGGAGGGTAAAACACGACGGTACTCACCGTGCAGCCTATCTGGTTACACGACCGACTCCTGCAAACTGCTTTCACTTTCGATTTTTCTGACTTTGTCCTGAAGGAGGAAGATACCGCGACGGACAGACAAACAGCTGAAGTGGGCCCACTTACAGACCCTGGAGAGTGAATTTGGGAAGATAATCCTCCAGAGTTGCGCAGTTTCAGGTGTGGCTGTAGTGCTTCCGGTTTGAGCTCTAGAATAAACTGAAACTCTTTAAAACTAAAGTGTGGCACCTTAAGGTAAGACTTAACTTCCTCTTATAAACCTATGTTTAATGTGCCAGTTTAAAGACTGATGGAGGCTTTGTTTTTGTTTTTCAGTAGGTGAAATTTTTGCTCCTAAATGAATATTAACATTTAGTTTATGAAGTGAGAGATAAGCATTTACAGATTGAGCTCACACAACTATAAGCAGTGTTTTTTTTTTTTACATATTCAGTATTCAAATGTCTTAAAATGTAAATTTGATTGTGCCTTTTCATTGGTGAAGAGTCACGCTGACTTTGTCTATCTCTTTATTGTTTTTATTTTAGTTAGTCTACTAATAGGAGTGCAAAATGAAAATGTTTTGAGCACAACCGGGTGTTTCTCCTACTGTGTTTGACTGTAAATGCATTCATGGTCTGCCTGAACCAGCTGGACAATCCCTGAGTGGCAGTCCAATGAGTCATATTTATTCATATCAGCTCAGTCATGTTAATTAAATATGTCAGGTGATGTTTGTCATGTCAACAATATTTTTCTCCAATACTTCAAATCAGATGTTGTTCAACTAATAACTCTTAAATCTGAACACAGAGGCGAAATGTTAACAAATGTGAGCTTAAAGTAAACAGGAGTCAAGTTGTAGCCCACAGATAACTGACTGTCTTCCTGGCAGCATTATGCTTCCTGTTTACATAACTCATCGCCTCCAAATTATGGGAACTGTATTTACATAACTCCAAACTGAAGTAAGACAAAGTTACAAAATCCATTAACATTTACTTTTTTTTACTTTTTATGTTACACTATCACATTATTTTTCATATATATATATATATGTCTCATCGACCTGGTTTTTACAGGCCTGTATGAAAACACCTGTCTCAGATATTCAAGATATTAAGCCTGTAAATTGGGCTACAGTATTAATTGACATTAATTAATTAATTAATTAATTAATCACATTTGTCAGTGATCACTCAGGAGAATCAAAATGAGCATTCGGGGACAGGAACAGGTGCAGAAGAAATATGATCCACTGGATGCCACCCTGAAGTTTGTCAAGAGGAGGGACGACTTGGATCCACTGTGTAAGATTCATTTCCTGTCTCACTGAGCATGTTGACAGCTTCTGAGGTTTTCATTTTATTGCTGACATGCATTACTACAGATGATCAGATTTTTAAAGTATCATTGTCTGTTTCATTTTCTTTTCACAAGCTGCAGAATTTTATTGTAATTCAGTGTTACCAAAGGCTCTGTAATTCACCACATATTGCAGCTAATATACATATTGTTGTGTACCTCAGGTTCAGATGATGATGATGACGACTGTCTCAGAGCAGAGATGTCCTGCGGCCACGCTGTCACTCCTGAATCTCTAACACAGTGGTGTCGCAGCCAGCTGGATGAGGTATCTCATGTCTTGAAAACAGTATTTTTTGCGCGTAAATTCAAATTAAACCCATCTGATCAAATTGTGTCGACAGTGACGACAATAGTGGTGTAAAAGCCTGTTTACTGGTATTATTTCACTGGCAAGACTCACAACTGCAACTAGTGTTCTTCTGTTTACTCTGTCACCTACTGGCAAATGCAATTTGTGTGAGTCTGTAACAGACAACTGAACATTTAAAGGTCCAGTGTGTAACATGTAGGAAGAAAAAGAAATATGTGCATAAGTTTATTATTTCATTAGTGTAAAACCGCCTGAAAATAAGAATTGTTTTTATAGCTACAGACGCTGTGGGTCGCCTTTCATGGAGGCCACCACTGTGAATCGCCATGTTTCTACAGTAGCCCAGAACGGACAAGACCAAAAATTGGCTGTAGATGTTTTTTTGCAACATTTAAAAGCTACTGCTAGACTGCACTAAATCCCTACACACTGGGCCTTTAAGATTACTAATTAAATAAAAGGGGCATCTTAAAAAGATGTTTTAACCTACCAGGTTAAAAAACTAAACATATTTTATTGAAGCTTCTTATGAGGCCACAAATCAGCAAATGCTGAATTAAAAAAAAATTATATATTATTATGGAGTCCTGCTGTTTTGATATTCCTTCTCATTTTTATTGTGGTGTACATCCTGTCCTCCAGGTCCACACTCCCACATATGTCACATCACTATTTCCAAGATAAAACATTTATACAATCCATATCAAACCCAGCAATGGAGTCTTTACTTATCTTCTATTATTCTACCACTTTTTCTCTTTGTTGTTTTAGGGGAATTACAAATTCCAGATGCTGTGCACGTGGTTGAGGGTACCAAACTGTGCAATAAACCAGTGGTCCGTATCCAAGAGGTGCGCAGACTGGCTGATTTGTTCCTGTTGAGGAAAATGCAGTACCTTTGAAAAGACCATGACCGGCTTGCTGCCTGGACGGAGTACTGTGAAGTTCAACAGTGAAGTGGATTTAAGCAAAATCAAGTGCATTGATTTTCAATTCTGTGTTCCTTTACTATTTTTTTTTCCCTTTGCACTTTCTTTTCCAACCATCGTGTCCACAGTGCAAGAACGAGTGTCGGAGAGGAAGGAATCTCCTCCCAACCTTTGTGTCCAAGTGCCACATATGTACAGCTGCCGACCAGAACAAGACCCGTACCAGTTCTGCTGGCAGTGTCAGAAGCAGTGGAAAAGGATGCAGGCTCGATCTGACCGCTGCAATAATGACGGTTGCAATCAACAAGGACCTGCAGCTTCTGAAAGACGTGTAACGCTCAATCCCAGTCTGCCCCGCTGTGGAGGTTCGGGGGAGGGGGTCACCGCTGCCCCTCTGTCGAGCCTGTCCTACAATGCGAGCATGAGGTGGAACATAGTCAGAATCTGCAAAAATATCAGATGTCCTCGCTGCCAGGTGGAGTTCTGCCTTTGTCTGCCTGAATCTAAAGCGTGAATGTTGCAAAACCAGTTCACCATATAAAATCTGTCCTAGTGGTGTGGCTCCGAGACAGACCTCTATCCCTGTGTGGCAGAGAAAATGAAAAACATTGATCCATCTGTTCTCAATCAACAATTCAACCATGGTTGTTTAAAGGTTTCAATGTTATATTACCTTGTACTCTTAACAATTGTTGACAAATGCAAAATGTGATGTAGACATGTATCGTCTCTTTTACTTGTGGATGTATGCTGCCACCTTCTGGCCGGATGTTAAATTGCACATTACAGACAAGGGTTTTTATAAAATTAAAAGAAGTTTTATTGTGGCTTGTATCAATCACCTATGTATTGAGTTGACTGGGGGAAAAAAAAAAATTTAAAAAATTTGCGGTTTTAAGATTATATAGCTATACATTTAATGTCCTTAAAAAAAAGTAATTTATATTTCAGAATCTATTTAGAGACATTATTGTTACTTATCACAGGAATCTTGAAATTCATGCTTTTTAAATTGTTCTTTTCTTTATTTATATTTCCAAAGAGAAAGTTCTTAATTTTTTTAAGCACAAAAAATGTAGTTGAAAGAAGAACATTTAAAATGTTACAAATAAAGTTATTATCAATGTTTTTGTTTTTTATTTTGGTTTATATTTACCAGTTCATCAAAAAAAAAAAAACATCCTCTGACTACTATTAAAAAGCAGAACATTGTCTAGTTTTTTTTATGTAATTGATGACAATTACTTATATGATGGCATTGAAATTTTGTGAGTTTTTTATTTTAAAATTTAACACATCATACAGAAGTACATGTTTTGTGTCACATGATGGTCAATCATCATTGCCATTTTGATTACTTTGATAGCAGGTTGTGGATAACATTAATGGGTTGCAGTTACAAACCCATATAGATTACACCAGAGGTTTTCAAACTATGTGGCATCCCTCCCAATGGGATGTAGGCGAAGAAGCAATGTTAGTTAGTTTGGAACAGTAGGTGGAGCTGCAGCAGAGGGTGAGACACCACCCATAAGGACAGTTAAAGGACCAGTGTATAATATTGTATTTAAAAACACAAAGATTCCCGTATTCAGGTGATTATACACTAATAAAAACATACCTTTGCGTATTATATTCAATTTCTGCCAATAGATCCTCCTAAACATTACACCATGGGCCTTTAAATAACCCCAATTGTTACGAACAATTGTTATTATTGTGAACAAATCACAAAAAATCACTGAAAAAATAGCCTATATATGTCCAGAACATGTCTGAGAATCATCCCGTTTTGATGGCTACAGTAACTGCTCATAACTATTCATCATATTTTTAATGGTGCCAAAATATAAACAAATATAGTCTAATAAAACAGGGCTCAAGTTGCATCTCGCCAAGTAACTCACAGGCTCCATGGCGACATTATGTCCCCCAAACATTACGTGAACTGTGATTTTCATTTAAATGGAAGTACTGGTTATAACAAAAAATAATAAGAGTGACAATAATCATATTATATTTGCAAATATCAATATATGTTTTGAAGCCATGTATTGATTTATGTTTGTGTATTCCTCCGAGCCACAAGTTATGTCCTCAGCTAGCTTTATTTAAGTGTTGCTAATTTGGGAAGTGAACACTTTTTAACTGTGTTTGGATAACGTTGTGGATGTAATGTTATTTTTATTTTTTTTGCTGAAACTAATTGGAAGTAATGGACACTACAGAGGACACTTGTAAAAAAAAATAAACGCCTTATCCCGCAAAGAGAGGACAGATCGAAAGCAATATTTTTGAGGTAGCAAGAAGGCGGCATGGAGACTTTAAGAGGTGGCAGAAATAAATGCTGATTTATTTCCAAATCTTCAGACATTTTTTCAAACACATGTAATTTTTCCATGAATTTAATCCTATCAGTTACTCAGAATGTTCCATCATCATTGTCTGGAACACTGATACTCTCCTCTATCAATTCATATAGCTATAAATATTTGCCCTGCATCAAAAACCTGTGTGACGGACTGGCGTGTTTCTGTGACGACAGGAACATGTCGTTTTATTGACTATGAACCCCCCCCGCCTTAAAACTAATGAAAAGTAATTACACAAGATGAAAAAAAAAATGAAGAAGTGAAAATAATCTCACCTGGTGGAAAGGTAAACCAGGAATTCATTTCTTCAGACAGACATGTAATTGTATTGTACAGAATCGTATTATATATGGCATATTGCTTTTATATTGTACTCTGATATTTAAGTCAATAAACAATCAAACTAATGCAAAACAAAATATACTTTGTTTGAATGAAATAAAGCAGTTTAAGTCTCATATGTAAAAGTTTGAAGTTTTAACTTATTATTACTGATGTGTCTTTCTTTACACTGTCTTCATCCTCTCCTCTAGCCTGAAGACTGAGTGCATCTTTCTCCTGATCTTTTCTCATCTTTCCCTCATCTTCTTCACTATGTCCCATCTGTGTGTTTTCTTCATCACCAGTGTCTCTTTTGCTGACATTTTTGTTTTCTCCTTTCTGTCCTTCCAGACCAATATCTTCACCCTGTTCTTCTTTCACCTCGTCTGTCAGATCTTCTGAACTGGTTTCAGCAGGTTTCTGACACTCTTGAAGAAGAAATAAAGTAAAATATTCAGTAATCATCTGTATCAG